CTCTGCGATTTAAAACTCCGAGTGGCACTGCAACTGTTATGGACAGGCGTGTGGCTTACCATCAGACCCATTATTAAAAAAACGTGTTATATGATGTTGTTAATACTTAGCAATATTTTGGTGTCTATGGTAGGCAATGGTAAATTTCTAGCGAAAAATAACTTTCCTAAATTGGTTTTGATCTGGACGTTCTGAGTAGTACCGCGTTTGAAAACCGATGCTTTGGTATTCATAGTACAGGGAATTCCTCAATTTGTGATCAGGAAATTGGTGATGTTATTTGCCACGCTGTTATTATTTTACAAGTATAGTTTATATTTGGTCTTTTAAAAGAAAATGTTTGTGTCAGGATTTAAAAAATCTTGACTATTTTGTTTAGAGAATTTCGTCTTATTCTGAGAAGTGGAACGAGTGGGACCTGAACATGACGAAAATTTTATGTATATTTTTTTAAATATCATATTATTTAGAACGGGATCTCAAGAACAATCTTGACGTCATGCATTAATTAATAAAAATGTTATAATTTTGTAGTGTTATTCAACAGTTTTCGAAATACCAATTATGTGGGGATATCAAATACTAGTCTTTATTTATTAGATATATGGTTATTTAATTATTTACATATGTATACCAGTGACGACGAGTCCATTTGGCTTGATTGGGTTGCCTCTCTGAGTGACAATGCAACTCTCATGGGTCTAGTGGTGACACCGGCGGCGGCGCCTGATAACGTAAAAAATATCACAACATCTTTTCATTGATTTTTCTTTCTGTATAACTAATTCGGAAAATATCTTGCATTGAAGGATTACTGCTTAAATTTTTTTGGTGAAAATCAGTATGACGTCACACCTCTAGACTGTTTATTGTCTCATTTAAAAAAAAGGATTTGTATTAGATTTGGAACGTATATTCGGCTACCATTCGGTATTCCGCCCATTCGGCCTCTTTTTGCTATTCGACCAAATATCGAATACCTAAAAACAAGAGTAAGAAATAAGAAAAACTGTAAATTATTATGTAATTCTTATGCATGCTGAACATGCATTGTAAGTTCCAGACAGCGCAATTTTTCGCTTATTATTTATCTAAATCTTAATTGTCAATTTTTATCTAAAAGATCGAAGTAATATAACTCAGGTATATTTCTAACAGATCGAAAAGGTAATTAATCAAGTGAAATAGTTTTAATTACTTCAGAAGATGTACTAAAGAAATAGTTTACAGTAACCGGAAACCGGTGAAGCGTAGAGACTGCTGGCCAATCAGAGAGCATAGTAAGCGATATTTGCCATAATACGTCGTGCGCGTCAATTAAAAAAAAATCAGACCGAATACTTTGTACGAAAACCTAACTGGGTGCAACACTAATTTAAATGGTTTGTTACCTACATTGCTAATGTACCAAAATAAAACAAAACATTGACGGTGAAAACATTTAATCGATATTAAAATCTAATTATATAAATACAGTCCACAGTTTTGCAAAGGTGTACAGGGTTATTTTGATTATACCCCAAACTTCGTAGCACTCATATTTATCATTAAAGCAAACGAGGTATATTCTAAAATGTTTGGGAATTCAAAATGCAAAATTTGACTAACTTTTGGAATTAACAGAACACATTGATGAAAGTTTCATGGTTTTCGTGCATTATTTGATTTTTAAAAATCGGCACTTATGGCGTATCTCGAAGGGACTGAGACCATGGTTCTTTCGAGACCATGGACGTTGCAACATGATTTTTTTAAATCAAATTAATAGAACCCACGGTCAACATTGCAACGATAATGTTTATAGCTGTGTAATCCTGGTGTTTCTTGTAATTTAGACTAATAATTTAGATTTTTAATACGCGTCGTATGTGTTCAGGTGTGTGTTGTGAGTGACTTTAAACCGTTCTTATTGTAAGCTGTATGTAACCGAGTCTAACGTCTGGTTTACACGAATTAAGAGTCTATACTACCTTAAATGGCTTTGGTTGATTCTGCATAACAGTGAAAGTCGAGAATCAATCACTTTTGAAAAAATATATACTAGATGATACGGTGTGAAAACACGATTCTTAAATAATTTTTACGATAGAAAAAAACAAACTTACTTCGAAATTGTACAAGAAAACCGTTGTATTCATTAGGTACTTTACAATATATCAACGATGTTTTTTAATATCTGAACTAAATAGAACACTTATAATGCACGAGATGGGTACATTTTTGAAATGGCTTTAATTTCCTTTGTAAAAAAATATATTCTGAAATAAAGCCAGCGTTCCATGCCGCTCGACCCAAGCAAAATGAACCGTATGTACGAGAAAAATTTGAATTAGAGATGAGGTAGTATAGATTCTTAAGTACAAAGTGGTAGGTAAATGTACCTATCGTTGCACATTTGACGATTGATGTACCTTCTTTGAACATGTTGAACTCGCCAATAGACCCCTTTGATTTGACATGCGTATCATTGCTATTTCTTTCTTTATTGCCTATCGAATGTAGTAATTTTGATTTAGATTAATAGGAGAGTGCTAAAAGGTTTAAGAGTTAATGTAAAAACCGCTGAATAATTATAATACAAGAAGTATTCGATGGCAAAGCTTGTAAACTTACAATTTAATTAATAAATGCTTATTGGTATGTCATGTTATAAAATAGCTGTTATATTTTAAAAGTATTCATTTATTTTATTCTAATTAAAAATTAATAATCGTTGAACAGTGGACGCCCTTCGCTTGAAATGATGATGATGAATAATTGAAAATAAAAACAATACTTCAATTTTTACTTAGGAAATGGCAGGACCATTTAAATTCAGAATATGTGGATTATTGCGAAAAATAATTTCGTATATTATTATTTTACAGGGTGAAATTTAATTCGACAAACTAAGGGCGCCTTCAAATTAGACGCTTCTAGAAGCGCTGCAGTGGCGCGACTGTGGCGCGGCAGCCACGCGATTTAGTAGTTTTTAGTTCACCATTGTGACTGCAAAAGTGGCGCGTGCCTGTCACTATAGTGGCGTTGTAACTGCGCTTCTAAATATGGTATGAAAATTAGTGTTGGTGCCACTAACGTAAAAGCGCTAATTTGAAGGTGCCTTATGTGTTGGTATTCATTAACAGAGAGGAAAATAAAAGTTCTTCATAGTGACAATTTATATACCTTTTAATGTACTTTGTCGAATGAATTCAATTTAACTGTTCTTTTCAATACTTTATATTTCTTGAATATGACCTTGTATTTTTGTTCTTTCCTACGTGTACACATTTGTCTAAGACCTACACTTATAACAACACGGTTAACTAAGATAATATAACTAACAGTGACATTAAATCACTTTTCGACTAGTATTAAAGTATTAAATACACTTAAATTGGTGTAAATGAAGGATAATACAGATCCTACTATACTACCACTAAATAAAATAAATGTTTTTTTATTCAATTTCAACAAATGCTTGTTGTTGTTGATACATATCTTTGTATGTGAGAACAACTTACTAGTGAATGTGAACTATAGATAGGAAAGTATAGGTTAGTAACTCATAACGTCTTTTACAACATCAAGGGCACCTTCTATTTAGACGCTTACATAAGCGCTGTAGTGGCGCCACTGTAAAGCTATTCTCGCGCCACTACTTATTTTCATACCACATTTAAGAGCGCAGTTGCAGCGCCACTGTTGTGACACGCGCGCGCCTCTTTTGCGGTCACATTAGTGAAGTAAGATTTACTGAAGCGCTACAGCCGCGCGGCTGCTGCGCCACAGCAGCTTGTATAAGCGTCTAATTTGAAGGCACCCTAAGTGATGTAAGTTACAATGTAGACGTAACGGAATTATTTACGTCACAACAGAACACGAATATCTGATTCTGATATTTTTTGTTTATTGCAATCAGTTTTTCGTCAATTATAATATTGAATTATTAAAATTTACGTGTACTAGTTTTCGATGGCACGAATAATAAAATTACAAAATATAATTATCACATGTAAAAATCTAGAAAATTAAAACGTTATAGTGCTGAATTTTACGAAAGCAAAACTTACGTTAAAGTCTTTTGCAACTTTTATAGTAACTTGATCTAAAAATATTATTAAAATAATCCTTTTCATTTTAAATAATTATAAAAAAAATATTTACAAGCTAACACTTAAATAAAAATATAAACAATTCTCATAATAATTAGTCTTATGCTTTTGTACGACTTTCGATGTTGCATTTTAGAGTGCATAAAATTATAAATTTAATTGAAATTTTAAGATGTAAATGTGAGTAATAACTTGATAGGTCCTAATGTAATTTTTATAATAAAGTATGATGTACCTTTTTATTTTCTTTCTGAAAAGGCGTAACGAAAAAAGACTACTTTTCCGTCATGACATAATTATAGTGTAAAATTGACTATAATAATCTTGCACACACAAACATTCAAACATCTATAGCCTATAATAATAGGAATCTCATTACGAATACCAAGCTCAATGACTTAAGAAAATTTTTAAAATACTTAGCTCGTAAGAAATGATCAAAATTTTTATACTGTCCAATGGGAATGAATTTCAGATTCATTGCATATCCGAGAACAAATCTTAACTAAGGATTATAATTTAATCAGTGGATGTATACAACAGATAAGTCTAACAGTAACTATTAACATTCCTTATAATTACGGGTGTACCTTCCAATTTTGACGCGAATTATTTACTATCATTCGAACTATGTAAATGACTTTTTTACGTCAATATTGTAAGTCGTTTCATTCGTGATAAAGAGGACGAAAAATGAGACCTAACGGAGTAACAAGTTAGTAGGTGAGAGGTAAGTGACACACGGCGACTTTAACCAGCGATGCAAACGCGCGTTCGTTAAACGCGCGATTGACTCGCTACAATTCCGATAGGTGATTGCATCGATGCAAACGCGCGACTACATCGATACAAATGCGCGATTGCATCGATGCAATCACCTATAAATCCCAAGTGTAGCGATGCAATTGCGCGTTTGTATCGATGTAACCGTGCGCTTGAATCGCGTTTGCATCGCTACTTACAGTTGCGCGTGTGTAACAGCTCTAGGGTGTAAGAATTTTAAAAATTTATTATAAGAATTACTACAGAGCGTTTTAAAGTGAATGGGCTCTTAGTTAGGCATTTAAAATCAATCTTAAGGACAAATAAAATACGTTAAATAAATTACGAACTACGATAGGAGTCATGTCCACTTATACTACTTCAGTAATGCTTAAATTGAATAAGACACTCTTAATACAATGTGAGTGTCTTTAACAAACATTGGTTTAGGATGCACTTACATTTATTGCAAGTGGACATTAATGTTTTTTATTACGGTGTGATTTAGCAGAGTAAGAGCGTTTGCGCATTACGACCGATTCGTATCACTTCCGAATCCAAGAAATGATGGTCTGAAATGTCACATCGATCATTTTATCTCTAGGAGTGTAGAAAATGCGAATGCATATTCGTTTTTTCTCGTATTCGAATCGGACTTAGTGCACAAGCGACATCCGAAGTGCCGTCTCGAATGCTGTGCGTAAACGCGCCAAAGCATGGTTTCTAAAAACCCCTAAGTTCCATTTACCTCTCACCTACGGAAATTATGACTACAATTGTATCACTCATAAAAGGCTATAAAGTTCAATTTTCACTTATTGAGATTTTTAAGAAATTTCTAACTTCCTCTAGTAACACCAAAAACATTGATGCCATTATGTCAATACTGGTTAAAATCAATATATAAATGCATACTTATGCAAACCAAGAATGGCTTGTCTATTACAGAATATAAATCCTTAATTAGAAATACCCAATTATTAAGGCGGCTTCTCACGGCCCGTGGTCCGTTTCGTGGGAAGGCCCTGTTCGGATCCACCGCTGGTCGGCCTACCACTCAATACTTACTCGAATACTTGCCGTTACGCGGGTCACTACGCATCACTACAAATCGATGCGTAAGACGTCACGGGCCGTGGGAACGCACCTTTAGAAGTGCGCGGGGAAACGCAGCCTTAGAAGTGTGCGATAGAACATCACTAATAAAAGCTTAATTTCTATGGGAATAAGTATTTTCACTCGGTTTCAATATTGCAAAAGCACAGAGTAAAAGCTACCTTCTTTGAAGAACTTGACATTTTAATTTTGTCTAAAAGGTTGAGCAAATATCTCATTGAGAAGCTGTTGGTATTCTTCCGCATTGTAAAGATAGTCTTCGTCGTCTAACGTACCCGTTGAGTTTATTCTGAAATATTATTCAGTTTTGAATTTGTTTTAAATGCTTTACATATTCGCACATGAAAACAAATACTCTCGTAACTCAAAAATGACGTAATTGAGAAGACACGATTTGCTCGACATTCTTTTTAGGAAACAGGAACGAAGTTTTAGTGGTTCATACATTTTGAATAGTTTTAATTTTTTTCATAAATAGTGAAGTCTTATAAAAATTACCTTACGGTATCCCTTTTTCTTCTCACAGAAGCAGAGGATGTTGCTTCTATGCACAGTACAATAAAGTGATTGTTACAAGGATATCTGAAATAAGAAAAACAGACTATATATATTGGTAAAAACTTAGGTCAGTGTGGTCAGTAAGGGACAATAAAAATGTCATATATTTTCATACAAACATGTATATATATGTATAATATGTATTGATTTCAATAAAATTATTGCCATGTTATTATAATACTGATTTAAATGTATTACAACCTAGTCGATATATTTTAACATGGATTCTCGACCTCACTGATCGTATCCAGCACTGATTTATGAACTTTGATTAATAAAGCTAAATTTTGAGGAGCATAGTAAACAACGATATTTCGACGAAAACTCACCTCTCTTGACTCAGCAGCTTTCTGGACAACAGAGAGCTGGCCATGCCTCGGAAAATAGGTTCACTGCTTTGCCATTCGTCGCAGAACGTGTCTAAAGCTCGTTCGCCGCCAGCATGAGATCCATGCCATATTATCTTTTGAGGCCTAAAGGTAGACAAAAACGTTCATTGTATGACAGCTCCAGTTGAATTCGAAAACTTGGAAATTCTTAACTGTATGTTAGTGTTAGATACAAAGAACGAACAAACACAGAGTTCCGGAGCTACAGTAGCCCCGGTTTGGCAAAAAATGCGCTGGTTCTTTTTTATTTAGGTTTCAAAGTATTCTCACCAATGTGGGTCGGTCATGATGTTTCTTCTATTAAAGCTGTAAATTCTTGGTGTTCCGATCATCATGCCGCCATTACCGTCGAATATGTCAGAGAACGATTTGAACAAGACTTCTCCTTCAGTGTTCGTTACCGGTAGGCGTCGGTCCGTATATCTTACTGTTGAATCTAGGTTTTGGATTCTGTAAAGAAAATGTTTAACATTGAAGGTAATATAAAAAGTCGAATAATCTCGATACGTAGGTCACTCAATAAGTTTAGAGATAAAGAAAAAATATCAAACATATTAATATAATATATTTTACATTTTTTCAAAGTACTCTCCATCATTATCTACACAAAATTTCATTCGTCTAAACCAACTCTGAAAACACTTTTGCCAGTCTTGATCCGTCAGCATTGAAATTGCCATTTCGTAGGCAGCCACTGCTTCTTCGACACTCAAAAAAATTTTCCTTTGATTTTTTCCTTCACTGTTGGGAACAAAAAAGAAATCGCAGGGAGCCAAGTCAGGGCTGTACAGCGGGTGATTTAAGGTTTCTATACCAGATTCCTCAATAAACGCCTTTGTTCTGAGAGACGTATGTGAAGAGGTGTTATCGTGATTCAGTATGATTCCCCGAAGCCCGGTCTTTCGTCTCCTCTCCCGCACAGCTTGGAAAACTTTTGGCAATGCTACTGTTGTGTATCATTCTGAATTAACAGACCTACTATTTTCTAACAATGACGCCGACAAATGTCCGCTCCGAGAAAAAAACTAGCTACCATTTTTTTGCCGACGTTTCGAGGTCTTTGCAACTTTGTCGGTAATTGTCTCTCTGCGAAGACCCACACCGACGACTGCTTCTTGCTTTCTGGATCATATTGATAGATCCATGTTTCATCACCAGTAACGATTTCTGAAACACGTCTCGATGTCCCGTTTTCGAAACGTATAAGCATTTCTCGGCACCAATCCACTCGAGCCTGTTTTTCAGTACCGGAGAGCAATCGTGGGATTCATCGACAACAAAGCTTCCTGACTGCAAGATGTTGATGCAGGATAGTATTGATGCTCCCCGAACTAATGCCTAGGGTCTTCTCAATGTTTGTGTACGTGATCCGTGGGTCTTCTCGCACCAACATTTCAGATATCCATACATTTTCTGCAGTAACTGCTGTTTTCGGGCGTCCGCCTCTTAGGTCATCTTCCAGGTTAGTTTTGCCTCTTTTAAATTCCTTAAACCACCTAAAAACTGTTGCACGAGAAGGAGCAGAGTCCTCTAATGCTGACTGCAAACTTTCCAAACTCAATTGTTCAGTTAAACCACATTTAAAATCATAGAAGATCATAGCACGCAAATGTTCACGGTTAAGATCCATTATTGCAAAGAAAAAGCGCGGGAAGCGTTGTAGTAAAATGCTTAACAATGTCATTTTTTTTTATTTAGCTAAATTGCTTTTGGTGATCTATTTTTAAAGAAATTTGCTTTTTAAAAACATATAATACGGGTGCGTTCCATTTTTAAATTTCGAGCATCTCAAAACTTATTGAGTGCCCTACGTATTGATGGTTTTTACGGCAAAATTTGGCTTGTCTTTTTGATAAGGAATGTGCGTAAAAGTATTGTACACACGCCAGCACATCAAGCTACACATTGACGTACCTATCTTGTTCTGTTGCACTGGAGGCGATTTTCACACAAAAATATGTAGTCTGATGTGCCGTTGTCCGTACATACGTTCTTTATCAGCGTAATACGATCTGACCAATGATTTCAACGATAATTGATAGTCTTGTCTACTTTTTGTAATTAAAATAATCAAGTGGACTTGTGAAAATGCGTAAAAACATCTATGACATCTTACCGGCTAGTAAGCAAAGCCCTGAAGGTGCCTTTAAATCCTGCCTTTTTCGCTTGTCTGTAGCAGGCGAAGTCAGCTCGTCGAACGCCGGCCATGTTGCCTGGTAGTGGATCGTTCAGGGCTGCTAGCCGTAGCTAAAGGTTTTAAAGAACACTCTTAAAATTTAACGCAAATATTTAACTTAATGTTATAAAATTTAATAACCAAGTTAATAATTAATTTAAAGATCAAATTTTTGTTTTGGTAAACATTCTTATGTTTATCTTCATTAATTTGGTTGCTGGCTTCATCTAAAGCGTGCAAGCTCCTCCTCCTACAAAGGGGGCAAGGGTTTACCAAACTAGACCTACAGAGAAAACTTAATACAACACATATACTTACAACACCTCCATACCTGGTTCATGTTTTATTTAATGTCATACTATTATATAAATGTATTACGTATTTACCATCATATTATTATTAGGTATGTCTTAGAGATACTTGTTGCAAATTAAATACAAATATATTTTTATTTTTTATATTGGATACACCTTTACTACTTACGCTAGGTCCAGCAGAATCCGCAACGCTTTCAATAGAATTAGATTTATAAGAAGAAATCGGATGCTCCAGTTCTTGTACAAGACTCGCTGCTGGCATTGGTAAAGGTGGAGCTTGAGTAGTCAATGGTTTTGATTGCGTGACTAGAGAGCCAAGCTGAAAAAAAATTATATATATCATGTATATGTATAACGCATAGAATTCAGAATTATTTGACGTCAGAACAAAAATTGGTCATCCAATTAAACCGGTTAAACAATTGTTGGTTACATGTATTAAGTAAATATCATTAGTGACGGAGTTTTCAAGATATTTTTTTAGTAATCGTAAATGTTCAAAAGCGACCGTCATCAATTTTCATCACGTATCGTCTGAACAGACAGTTTGACTAATAGAAGTAAAAGAGAAAAATGTTTTGGCATACAAGATTATGTATACTAATAGAAGAAGAATACTTTGACGCCATAACTAGCATTATTTTTAAGGTATGCAGGAAGGCAGATTCTATAAGCCAAGAAAAAATACCAAATTTTGTTACCACACTGCATGATTTTTTGCTCAAGGGATTCTTTTAGACCATAACATATGAATCCGGAATGGAGCCGTTTCAGTCACGCACGATTGGTAGATACACCTGATTGTTGTTTTAAGCCGACCCCAGTAAGATTGCTGTATACACTGGCTGCCATAGCTATTACGATAAGGCCCTATGCGATCACTCCGTAGCGCAGCAAAGGCTGAAGAGCCGGAAACATTTCGACAATTGTGTTCGTCAATTAATTTGAACTGTTACATCTACAATTGTATCTGCAATTACAGTAATCTTTATTTGCTAGATCTTTATCTCCTAGTGCAATTTTATTATTATGGCATATATTTTTGGTATTTACTTTAGATCCCCGGTTCCTACAGCCCTCAATTAATGAACGAAATAAAGGACAGTAGAATATTACCAGTTGCCGGAACAAAATAATCAGGTGTCCTTCATGCGACTTCGAAGTCTACAACACCTGTACTGGTTTTTAATTTAATTTTTCTGACCAACATAAATAGAATACTTACTAAGACATATTGCCATCCAGAATTAACTTTGACCAGCAGAGCTTGTTCTTCGATGACATAAGCTAAGGAGCCTACTGGACTCCCAGCAGTTTGCTGTAAATTTACGAGAATATAAAACACTTCTTCAACCTTATGATTACTATCTCTTTTTACTTTATTGTCTTCTTCTTTTTATCGTATCAATGGCATACATTATAATGCTTGCTATATTGGTGAAAGGATTTGTCGATTGTTGCCCAGGGTGCGCCACTCGTACAGGAAAGGCAAGGAAAGGCGGAAAGACTTCTACAAGTACCGTTTATTATTATTATTATATCGTTGAATTTCCATATTCTTTACCTTCATTACGTCTTCAGTAGTTTGGAAAATTGACGCTCCTAAAATCCCATTTCCTGGTTTCGAATCATCATTTGGTGGGTGTGGTCTTGGTGGAGACGGAACTGAAAGTTATACCAAAATGTTAATTACCGTAGGTGCTTGTAATGTTTATATGGCCTTGTAGCGTACATCGGCGATTGGTTTAAATAAATTAAATGCATAGGATGATATTTTTTTATTTCCAGGTTGACTTCATATCAGCAAAATGTACTTAATTACTTTTATCAATATTTTTATCGAGTATCTAAGTTGTAATTTTCTGTAGAATTAATTTCAAATGCATTTTATCTTGTGTATACGTTCTTTGCGTATAACTTACCGTCCCTAATTTTTCCATCTTTGAGATCTGTCAACTCTTTGAGAAGCTTTAGTTCTTCAAAAGCACCTTTGGATCCAGATGCTATTCATCCAGCAGCATGTATAAATAACACAAACTACAGTTTATACGACCATTCGAGAAGAAAGGAAAAAGACGACAAAAAGTCCTAATTTTAATGAACTTTTTCAATCATGAGATAATTGTCAAAATTTTAACGTTATATATAGTTGATTGATTGTAAAATGATACTATAACGTTAATACGTAATATTATCTAATGATAATAAAGTACGAAACACACATAGAAAATTACAACCCATTATGAACACGAGGGTTTCCTTCATGGCAATGCGTATAATAATTTATAAAACAGTCATGAATTGATTAGGGTAAAGAAACTGAGTAAACATGAAATCATACGTGGTCGGAATTTGCCAAATCCGTGCGTTTGGCGTGGTTCTTCTTCAAAGTAGCTCGTGCCAGGTTCTCCTTTCAGTCCCTGAATCGATACTCCAGGGAGACCAGGAGGTCCGGGTGGTCCAGGTGGTCCAGGGATGAATTGAACAGTATCTGATCTGGAACTAACGGGACCTGGAGGTCCTGGAGGTCCTGGAGGTCCTTGTAATCCTGGTAAACCAGGAGCACCATCTAATCCTCGTTCTCCTTTAAGCTGTAAGTATTAGATTATCTGATTATAGACGATGTTTGATTCCTTTGAGTTAAATTATTTTGGTTAGGTATTGAAAAAAAACTATTTGAGACATTTCACACAAATGTACATTGCAAAAATTACAATCATAATTCTATACAATAACACAAAAATCGTTGTACGTTCCATTCATTATCTATATTAGACCCAAATGACGGTCCTTGAAGCCGAATTGCTATCCGCTACCAAGGTCAGATAAGATCAGATTTGGGTTCAACAATTACATTAAAGAGACGCGTTATATTCCAAAGACGTCGTTTTCTTTATATGGTAATATACTATACGGAACCATGCTCATTGTGTGTCAATTCGCGAAACCGTTTTTATATAAATATCTATATGTCACTACATTGTATAATAGTCCGCACCTACCATAGCCACGAATACACGTATCCTTGAATTTTAGTTGTAAAATGTACATTTATATACTTTTGGTTGTGATAGTGTTATATTTATATGGCACTCGCACGTTTAATTACTGGAAGAAACGAGGTGTTAAACATGACCCGCCTATACCTTTCTTTGGGAATAACTGGAAGCAGTTTGTGCAACAAGCAAGTATGTGCATGATGGCTACGGAAATGTACAACAAATATCCAGAAGAACGTGTTGTTGGATTTTTTAGAGGCTTGAGTCCCGAGCTAATTATTCGAGACCCAGAGATTGCGAAAAAGATTTTAATTAGTGACTTTCAGCACTTTCACGCTAGAGGCTTTATTCCATACAAAACTGACATAGAACCGCTGTTGAAGAATTTGTTCTTTGCTGATGGAGATTTATGGAAACTAATTCGTCAGCGTTTCACTCCCGCTTTCAGCACAAGCAAGCTAAAAGGTATGTTTCCAATCATTACTGACAGAGCTGAAAAATTACAAAGACTGGCAGAAGACGTAACTAATAAAGAATTTTACGATGTGAGAGAACTTATGGCGAGATATACGACTGATTTCATTGGAGCCTGTGGTTTTGGAATTAATATGGATTCTTTGAGTGATGAAAATTCACAATTTAGATGGCTGGGTAAAAGAGTGTTTCAAAGAACAACAAGAGACGCTATAAATGGTGCTTTAAAATTGATGTTCCCCACACTTTGCAAAAACCTACACTTCTTAGCTCCAGAACTTGAAACTTCTATGAAGCACTTAGTGAATACTATACTGAAAAATAGAAACTATAAGCCCGCAGGTAAAAATGATTTCATTGATTTGTTACTTGAACTTAAAGAAAAAGGTAAAATTGTCGGGGAATCCATTGAACACAAAGAAGCTGATGGAAAACCGAAAACAGTAGAACTAGAAATGAGTGAGATGTTAATGATTGCTCAAATATTTGTATTCTTCGGTGCTGGATTTGAAACTTCGTCTACAGCTTCCAGTTATACTTTACACCAGTTGGCTTTCAATCCTGATTGTCAAAAGAAAGTACAGGAGGAAATAGACAAAGTGCTAGCTAAATATGATAATAAATTGACATACGATGCTGTCAATGAAATGCATTACTTAGAAATGGCATTTTATGAAGGTATGAGAATGTATCCATCTGTTGGGTATCTTATTCGAAAGTGCTCGTCACCAACATACACGTTCCCGGATCTTAATTTGACTATTGACGACGAAGTAAAAGTCTTTATTCCAATCCAAGCAATGCATAGAGACCCAAAGTATTTTGAAAATCCTGACAAATACGATCCTGAAAGATTTCGGAATGGAACAAAACATATGAAACCGTATTTTCTACCTTTCGGAGAAGGTCCTCGAGCGTGCGTTGGTAAGTATTATTTATTTAAGTGAAATATTTCTTTATTCTTGTTACAAACAAACCTAAAACAGGTAGCGTTGTAGTAATTACTAGATGCCTTTTTTAAGCATTTAATAAAGTATTTGTTAGTAATTCTCTTCAGGGACTCTTGTGGATGGCCCCAATTCAATCAGGACTTCTTATAGGACTGTTGTACGTTTATTCCGTTCAAATTCCATTTATGAATTGGTTGCAGGTGAAAGGTTAGGCCAGATGCAGTCTATAGCTGGTATAGCAGCATTATTGCAGAAGTTCACAGTCGAACCAGCAACTTGCAGTGTTAGAAACCCAGATCCAGAACCTACTGGTATCGTATCAGAAGGATTCGTTGGCGGACTTCCACTTAAATTTCGAAAGAGAAATGACAAATAGATTGACCAAAGGTTTGTACTTATTAATCTAGAGATTGTAGAGCAGACTGACAGCAAGAGAGAAGATTGATAGAGGTGTGATATTTTTTATACGTTAATGTTTGGGACTGTTGTGTCCAAAATCAATTGCTTGGAACCATTATTTCAGTAAGTACGTTACGATTTTTGATATTAAAAATTATTTTGAAAATGTTTCAATGGTTTCTTTTAAGTTTGTGTTTTCAATTTCTTCTTATGGAATAAAGCTATATAGATGTCGTATACAATTTAAAACATAGAATTTTGACACATTTTATAATATCTTCAAGCGTGTGTGATCCGTTAGCAAGACATGTAGAAATGAATTCATCAACCTCTAATTCGTAGATTTTTGCAAGAAATTAAATTTTTAAACACTACGTTTTTTAGTATAATGACGTTTGTGGTTATATATCTCAAGAATAATAGTCCCGGTATACTATCACCAAGACTGTGTTTAAATGACAAATAATAGCTTGTTCAACTGTGCAACTAGGGCCTAGTTTGGTATACAGAAGCAGGTTCAAGGAATTGATTGTCAGATCGAAAGAGTTTTTAGTGTTCGATTTTGGTGTTAATAATTATAACAAACTAGTGGAATAATTTTACAAAAAATAAATGAATATCACGGTAGTAAAACATCATGATATTCAATAAATCAATATTACAAATAATAACTTGTACTATTTTAGAATCATATTATTACGCAATTATTATCCAATCAGCTAATGTAAGCGTAGAGTAGGAAATGCACTGATTTTTTTTGTTTTGAATCAAATTTGGATCGTAATGGATCGTATACCTCTGAATCGATCCACATATGGATCGTGTGCTCTTGAATCAATCTCATTAATATCGTTCCAAATTTAAGTTTAAAACTTATAAAAAAGTAATTTTCACAGGCTTTTCGGCTTCAGTCGGTTTATGACTTTCATTTAGAGTGATACTAGACAGATGGCACAGAAGTATCGATAATCGCCAAATATTGTAGACTTATTGTTTGATTTATCGTTTGACTCTTTAGATGTTGCCAAATGGCTTTTCTTGCAGGCCAATATAAAATAGGGTTTTAGAAAGAGACTGCTTTGTTATTACGAATACGATCTACACGATTCGATTCGCCTTAATTTTAAGTCGATTTACGTAATAACGCACACATTCAACATAGCCCCGGACTAGGGAAACCCTGTGTCGCGGGTTATTACATAACGATTATCACTAATTTTGTTTTTATAACTGCACGCACAAGGACCGGTATGCGTGTAGTAATAAAAACAAAAACACCTCGAGTTCAGTTTGGATACAGGGAGTGTGGTTTGTGGGAAAAAAGTGAGTGACAATTGTAACGCCACAACAAATCGCGATGAAGATAGTAGTCGCCGACAGCGCAAGAAGGTAGAGAGATATGTCTGTTCTTAAAACTGTCATCTGCCGCCGTCTAGTCAACCCGTGACCATGGAGCGTGCAACCGTTCCGAAAAATCAGGAAAATAAAAAGAAGTCATACCGTGGTAAGAAGCCTGACATTAGTGATAATCATTTAGTGAATAACCACGAAAGCCTTAAAATATATATATTAAATTATATATTATATAAGTACACTCAAACTCACGAGACAAATAATACATTTATTTGTGCCATACAAATATTTCTTCCGGCCCGGGAATCGTACCTGGGACCTCTGCGTGGCTGTCCGGCACGGTAACCGTTCGACCACGGGGGCAGTTGAAATCGCATTGAATTAAATCGATACAAGAAATCGCCAGATCATATACACTTGAATCGATTTTTATAAAAACCTAATCGTAATGTGCATCCCTAGCGTAGAGATTCTTACCATAGATGCGTCAAGTAGGCTGATTCCAGGTTCACCTTTCTCGCCTTTAAGACCACTTGGACCTGAATTTCCAGGTGGACCCAAAGATCCTGGTCGTCCCTGTTTAACAGATTAATGCTAAAACGATTTTGTTCTAATGACACGGTAATAATAATTAATTTAACAAATAATGTACCTTAGATGTCTGTCCATGTAGCAAAAATAATATTAAAAATTATAACTTAATTCCAAGTTAAAGTTTAAAGTAAAATATCTACACACATATCATAAACCCTCTATGATGTGTCCAAAAACAGCAAATTACGACCAACATAAAGATAACCTGTTTTGGTAGAAATTTGTTCTATCTATAAAAATTTTATTTTTGCTTCATATTGACATCAAATTCGATGTTATTATTACATTCAAATTTCGACATCCCCGAATAACAAAACAATTTGATTCGACCTTAATTCAAGTCGAGATTAAGTTTTATTCGAAATGAAATGTCAATAGTTAACAATTTTTGCAAATCTCACATGTTACTTGATATCGAACGATATGATAGTTGGGGCCGACTCTAGTTTGTCTGTGAATTTAAACAAAAACTAGAGTTGCGTGACATGATTTTACTAATAATTACTGTTAATAACTCTGATCAATGGCGCAATGCCGGTCGTAACATGCGGTTCCTGGACACATCATAGAGAGCTTACAATAAGTGTATAGATAAAGCAGTGTATGTAACTGTACATAATTAGGCGTTTCATAAACCCCACACTCGTGTTTTAATGCCTTTCATTATGTAACAGTCACATAAACCACTATAATACTCAAAAAACTTTTAGGTGTATATGTAATTTTAGCATTACATACACAAATGTTAATTTTATTATAATTAAGGCCCATTTAGATGGAGAGAGTTTATCGCAAGCTTCGTGACGAAAAATCATACGCGATTATCGCAAGCAATAATCGCCATAACATTATCGTATCATAATATGTTTACATTCAGGCAAGAACTAAAATCTCGCCTACGATTATGTCATACGAGATTCGCAAGCAAATTAATCGCTACCTCGACTGTTTACACAGTTAAATGTGTAAGTAAGGAGATTATTGCTTACAAGTTTTCGACTTGTCTAAACTCGATCTCGTATGACATTTTTTCAAGTTCATACGATAATTCTACAAATCGGTTCCAATCATTTTGCGTGCGAGAATTGCCATTCGAGTTCAGTGATTACTGCGTTATTGACTATGGATATACCAAAATGACGCAAAAATCACTCAAATTTGGAACTGCTGACAATATTAAGTTCATACTACTGTATACAAATATATATATGTTTATACTTTTTTTAAATATTATAACATTTCCTAACCCAAAATTTATTTTCGTTCTCATTTCATTAATTCTTGTCTTAGAAAAGCAGTGATAATCAAAACACCCTCGCGCACTGCACTCGTGTTAGCGACTGGCTGGCACAAAAACTCGAAATACTATTTTTGTTTCAAGAACTATTTACACAAAGACGTTCAATATTCAAAGGCGAGGCGATTATCGCTCACGTGGACGGTCGATAGTCACCAATGTTTAGACGAGGAAAGTTTTTTATATTCTTTCGATTCGTATCTTCGAGTCGAGTAACTCTCTCCGTCTAAATGAGCCTTTAGCCACTTGTATTCTTACAACAGAGTTATACATACACTACACGAATTAAATTGAGCTCTATGGTACTAATAATAAGACAGTTTGTTTCAATTGTTACGATTTGGCATTGATTGAACAGGTTTTCGTGTTTACTTTGTTTTTTGTATGCGATTTCTAAAAGTAGATTTAAGCAAATTGGCGAGACGCGTCTGTGGATTTTTTTATAAATAGTGTAGTGCTAATCTTCGAAACGTTTCTCTCTAGCGTTTATCACATGATTGTCAGTTAAGGAATATGCCAAGAAATTATTATTTACTGAATTCTAAAGTTTAAATACCTACCTCTGCCTTTCCGTCGTTTTCGAATGAATTGTAAAAGAGTACTTTGTTACTTAAAACTTAATTACCTTCTATGTTTTAATACATCAATATGTGTAATAAAATCTAGTTCTTAGGTTTTCACGATTGTTACATATAGGAAATGAAATTATGTTTTCGAATCTAAATCGTGTTTATTTGTTCTTTCAAACGAACTAACGTTTTGGGCCCTTTGCAGCCGTGACTGTGGGACTTGTAAAAGGTCTGAAACGTTTGAAAGTTTGAAAAAAATACAAATGACATATATTTGACATTTTTTTATGTTTATAATTACAGGTGACGGGACAAACAAGTCGTGCGCCTGGTGGTATGCGACACGCATATCCATATAATAATAATAATAACGCAACACACTCATAGCCCCGCACTAGGGAAACCCTGTGTCGCTGGTGCCATGGACATACACATAGACAACCATAAATGACACCCAAACTCGCGAGAGAAATAAATGTAGGCCATACACATACTTCTTCCGGCCTGCGAATCGAACCCAGGACCTCTGCATGGCAGTCCAGCATGGTAGCCGTTCGGCCACAGAGGCAGTTAAAATACACGTCCATAACTGTTGCAGTGCCATTCAGAGCTTTAAATCGCAAAGATCTTATGGACACTCCTATTGCGTCTGTCACCCTGAGACATAAGTTGAAAAGTCCCATATGCTTGTAATGTTTTACTAGCACCCTTAACCTTTCTAAACCGAAACGCCATAATGCTCACATTACTGCTTGGCGGTATAAATAGATAAGGTGGCAGTACTTCCCTGGACAAACTCTTCCACAACGAGCCTTACAGCTATAAATCCAAAATAGTTTTATTTCCCAAGTATAATTTTAAAGTTCAAATATAATACGTTTACTCACCATCCAGCCAGGGAGTCCACTGTCACCTTTATCACCAGGTCTGCCAGGGGGACCAGGTGGACCCTGTATTCCTTGAAACCCTCGCAGCCCATTAGAGCCTGGTCGTCCTCTGCGTCCTCGCGGTCCTGTGTCTCCTTTATCACCCTGTGATAAAATTATTAGGAATGGTGGCTAATTTTAAATGGCGATGAGAGATCTAAGAAATAATATTGTTGTAGAAGCAATGAAAATCCTTTTTAGTAATATAGCCAACTTGCTGAGGTGGTAAACGTTTACTATAAATTAGGTAAGTTATGTTCGGAAATTGGGTAGAATATTATAATACAGGAAGTAACAAAAGGTGCAATAATACTTTAGGACTTCATTAAGCCTGGGCATTATATTCATGAATATAAAGAAGTGTTGCCATAATAATTTTGGAACAAACAAATCTTTTTCTGTATTTTCTTACAAATTGACGAACAGTTAATCCAAGTGTGGGAAGCCGTGGCAATTTTCTTTGTAAGTTTGTCTAAGGTCAGGCGGGATAAGAGGAACACTAGGGGAAGAGGGATTTTTTTAAATTTATTTATTAAGGTTACATTATGAGTAGTTTTTATTGCTGTGTACTATAATAATTGCACAATTTTTTACAGACAAACATCGCATGCAAGTAAATTAGTGGACACAATTAGTAGTCGTTGATGGATATGTATTCGACTCGTATTTATGGATACATTTTGATAGTAAACAAAAAGAAAAAAAAACCTCAAGTGTAGTACTATATTAATTCTGCGCTTAAAGCCTGTATAAGTTAAAAAAGAAGAATAGGTCACGACGAAGTGATAGACCTACGGAATTTAAACAAAGAAGTGTGAAATATGTGTAGGTTATGGATATTAATGCTAAGATCCTAAGAAGAAGAGAAGATGGTATATGCTGGATTTGAAGCCTTAACTCATAATCTAAGAGTTTAGCACTATAGTCTCTCATTCAATAAAACAGACAAAGAAACTAGTTTAACGATTATAAAGAGATGTCGCTACGATGTTCCATATCCAAAATGCGGCAAAAACAAAATTGACCGTTGAGAATCTTGAAAAGATGAGGTATACCTTTAAAAGAAATACGGTGTCTTTTCCTCTTATCCCATTTTTTCGGGAAAGAGAAACGTTGGCACAATTTGCACGTTTTCAGCAAATACATCGTAAGTATTGAATTTAGCGTAATGATTATTAAGACATGTTGTCAGATAAATAAAGGCAAATTTAGTGCAAAACAAAATTCTTATAAAACTTTATACTGTCCTTTCTAGAGCGCAAAACATTTGACTTAAATTATTTTTCTCTTACCTCGCCTGACTTTGAAGTGTGAAGATATCGAACATTTTTGGTTTTCATGATTGTTCCACATAGGAAATGAATCTATATTTTCGGTTCTAAATAGCATGTTTTTGTTTTGTTTTTCGAGTCCTTGGTCACGGCTGACATTCGTGACCACGGGACCTGTAAAGCAGATCCGAAAAATAATAGTTTCATTTCCTAATCTTGTGCAGTGTCAGATTGTTTTTGTACACTCTATAAATGGCAGTGATATTATGTTCGATTGAATTAACAAGAAAACATTTTTTTGTATCATGTAAGTACAAAGAAAAGACACACCTACTAGAAAATTGGACTTTAAACTTAGTTAAATACGTTAAGTTTAAAGTCCAATTCTATCAAATTTAGACGATGGTTATGTTCGATACTAGGCCATGTAGATTGATAATCGTTTTTATTATCTTGGTTTCTTTCGGACTTAACTTTATAAATGTTTAATCACACAATCCTTCAAATTGATAAGAGGTCTTTTCTTTATATCTACTAACTAAGCGTCTTATGTAATTATCAAACATCGATTTATCTGTATTTGAGCAACTTATGTGAATCGTAATAATTATCGTAATTAGCAAAGTTAGCGTGAATTTATATCTCATTACAAGGAATGTATACAAGGAATAAATATTTATATTATTCAAAGTAAATTTTCCATGTCACGTCAATATTTTAAGTATTGTCACAAGTAGTTTCTGTTTTTTTTTTGTATTTATTTTTAGTATTTTGAGGAAGAAAGAAGTACTAACAATATTGTCCCTTACCTTAATAGTTATAATATCAGAACCAGTAGCACCAGTGATACTAATAGGTCCAGGAGGACCTCTTTCTCCTCGTTCGCCTTTTAATCCCGGTGGTCCGGGTAATCCCGTAACACCGGGCATTCCAGACGGACCTATGTCGCCACGTTCTCCAGGTTTTCCATCTTTACCCGGAATACCAGGGGTGCTGTCCAGACCTCGACTTCCTTTTTCTCCCTGTTTGCAGTATACAGAAATTGTACCAGAATTATATTATGTTATCAATATCATTTTCTAATTGGTTCTATTATAAAAACATAAAAGCTTTATTTCGCGTCTCTCTCGCTGCCGAGCGTGGTTGCCGTCATGCTCGATAGCGAGGAGTCCTGGGAGGCGGTAGCCTCCTTTTGCGCAGAGGTTATGTCGCAAAAGGAGGCCGCGGAGCGGGTGCTCGAGGACGCGGCGGACGCGCACCCCTCCGGCGCAGACGTACGGGAAGAAGGCGAAGGCAGTTCGCTGCTCGCCTGATCCCCTAGTGAGACCAGCGGGCTCTGGACAGGGACTCCGGAGTCTGCATTGCACGGCCTCACTCGTCTGGGGGGCGGGTCGGAGGACAACCGACTCGCCCCTCCGTTGGCGCGGGAGCCCTGGCGTAAGCTAGGGCGGTCGGGCGTCGTCGTGGTGAATGTTCACTGATCCCACGGCGCCGACTCAACCGGCGAGAGGGAAACCCGGTGGGGTTGTAGTGGGGTAGGCCCTCCAGTCTGGAGGGAGAGTCCCCACATAACCCCTGATTCTCCCTGGGTTCAGGGGTATCCATAAAGATTTCCCCCCGTCAAAAAAAAAAAGGTTTTCGCGATTATTGCACATAGGAAATTAAACTGTTTTTCCGAATTCAAATCGTGTATATTTGTTTTTTTTTTAAACAAACCAACGTTTCGGGTCCTTTGCAGGTCCAATGGTTACGGTTGACTTTATTTCCCTGCAAACGTCGAGTATATTTTTAGCGGTGTGAACTGTAATTGCGCTTCGTGTTTATTTAATTATTTTATGCGGAGAGAGAATCGGGAAATTAACTGCATAAAAAGTATTGAACACAAGCGAAGCTATTTTCCACTATTTAATCTTCACTGGGTTTGCGTAGTTGCAAATTATTTTACTTCCATTTTTATTAACATGGTTTTCTGCAAAGCAACATCTGAATCTATTAATTATTAAGCACTACTGAAAATTATACTCATCACTCACCTTCTCTCCTTTTTCTCCTTTACCTCCTTGGTATTGACCTAGAAATAAACGAGGATCAAGTTTTGCAAGTACACATTTTACACATTTTTAGAGTAGGTTATTGAATCCTTTATTCTTACCCGTTGTCAAGAATTCAGGATCATCAGAACTCAATATCCCACCCGCTATAGCCGGAGGACCGGGAGGCCCTGGTTCTCCGCGTTCACCTAATTTTTAAACAGATTATTAAATTTGAATCTGTGGTATTAATTCGCTACGTTAAAAGTATTCTGGGTAACAGTCGATGTAAAGTTTTATCATTTTACATGCCAAATCTATAAATGATTCATTATGAGTTTCAAATATTGTTAATTTTAATACAATAATTAGTACATGATTTTTTTTTTCCAATTAGTATATAATTTTTTTTCTGAAATACGGGTGATTTTTTTTAATACGGACATAATTAATATCTGTATGAAATAGTTTTTACCCTTCTCTCCTTTGTCAGCTGGTCGTCCGTTGGCACCTGGAATACCAGGCCTACCATCGAGCCCCGGACTACCTCGGTCTCCTTTTAATCCTCGTTCTCCTTGCGGTCCGGGATGCCCCTAAAACCATGATATATATTTAATATTATAATATGATATTTTAACTTTATTTTCTCGCGGTCTCGTAAAGATCACAAAGATTAAAAAAGAGCGAAAACTAAAAACTTCTAACCCTGTCTCCTTTCGGACCATTACTTCCAGATTGACCCCTTTCTCCTTTCGGTCCTGGGAAACCTCGTTCTCCCTGAGGTCCCACCGGACCTTGCTGTCCAGCATCTCCTTTTGGTCCTGGGGCCCCTGGTCTGCCAATTGCTCCACCGTATGACCCCATTACACTTTCCTGTATAGGAAACATTAACAATAAAGCTGACTTACCAGACTGATGACTATATGAGACTGAATTGACATACCAGAATACTGATTTTATAAGAATACATTTCTTGTCATTCCAACCGCTAAAGTTTAAGAAATAATATTTTAAATTTACTAAGTCTTATTCGAGGTCTATTCAAGTAGTGAAGATTGTCAGTTAGCTCTACGTACTTCTAGAAAATAATTTATTTATTTCTCCACAGGTATACACTAGACTTTTATTATTTTAATTTAAAATTCATTAAATTAGAATAGGATTTTCGATTCTAATTAAAATTAGGGAAATGTTTTTTTTTTTCTTAAAAAATACTTTAAATCTCTCTCCTGTAATATTCTCCAAATGCACGTCATGGGTTTTTTGTCGATATGAATATATCTTTTTATATTCATATCGACTGACGATATATAAGTTACATTAAATACTAGTTATTTTGAACTAAAAGTTTATACGATATAAATATATATATATACATAACTACCTTCGTGGCCGAACGGTTACCATGCTGGACCGTCACACAAAGGTCACGGATTCGATTTCCAGGTCGGGTGAAATATTTGTATTTATTTCTCTTGTGACTTGCTGGTGCGATTTGTAGGTGTCAATGTATGTTGTCTATGTGTCCATGGGACCCGCAATACAGGTTTTCCCTCTTTCGGGTTCATGTGTGTGTGTTGTTATTGTTATAACATAATATATATATATATTAATATTCACATCTGCGTGTCATATACATTCACATTCACATCATGTACATTTCATCATATTAGCAATATATTTTTTAATTTCTTTTTCAAAACTTTAAACTTGTTTTTATTAACTTTATTAATTACCCTGAGCCAGTCTATTCTATATCTTTATTAATACCTGATCACGATTTATATTTTAATTTCTTTCAGATTCAAATTCAATTAATCTATTTTTTAAAAGTCTCCAACAAGATTACATCCAATAAATTTAGAGACTTTTCTGTCCAATTTTAATTATGATCTGTAAAAGATTACTTGACTGTTATTAAGTTATTAAATTCTACTAGATAAAATATCTCAACGGAATTACCTCAGTAAGTTAAAGCTGCGAAATGTCAGACAGCTTACTTAAAGCTCTATCTGAAAAGCATTGCTATATTAAAGGCCTTTAATTTAGCCCATTGTCACTGTGCACTTAGAAATACTAACTAAAATATACTTAGCTGCCAATCTTGCTTTATCAATAATCTCAAACATCTGTGGATTGAGGATATTCGTACGCCGTAAAGTGAAACAGTGGTAAACTTAACAGGAGTAATTTTACAAAAAATAATTGAATATCATGGTGGTATTACAATGATTAAAGTGACATATCTAGTCAGAGACTGGTAGCTGTAAAGGTACGTCGCTGAGCGAAGAAAAGCTTTCACAGATTTCTCACAGATGGCGCTACGGCTAAAAGTCATTAAAAACCACAGACAAAAGATCCAACAACAAGCACATAGAAAGATTCGTGAGGTCCGCTGGTTCTTTCTGTGGATTAGTTGGCATGGCATCTGCCACGGTTTGTTAGAAAAATCAGGCCGGATCGAAGGAATTTGTTCTAAGTGTTCGATCTTTGTATAATAATTAAAACGAACTAGCGGAGTAATTTCACAAAAAATAATTGAATATCATGGTGGTGAAACATCCTGACATTCAATTAAAAACTTAATTACAATTATTAAAGTAACATCTTTAGTCAGCGGCTGGTGGCTGTAGTACCTCCCTGAATGAAAAAAAAAACTTTCGTAGATTTCTCAAAGATGTCGTTATGGCAAAAAAGTAGTTAAAAAAACCAAAACAGAGCTTCATTAGCTAATAAAATATTACAACAAATAAACAATGTTATGACTAGTGGAAGATGCTTGAGGTTGCAATGGGTGGCGTCACATATTGGCTTGTTGGGGAATGAGGAAGCGTACCGGTTAGCCTTTGCGGCTGCTTCAGAGGGGCCTGAGGTTGACATTGTGCCTGACTTGACTGAGTGGTTGCAAACTATAAGAGCAAGTTCCATTCTCGTTGGAATGAATATTTCGATGTGAGGTTCCAGGAAAAAGGAATCTGGCACAAAACCATGCAGAGTGAGCCTTCTCGTGTCCCTTGGTTTGACCATGTTAAGTTAAGATCAAATTGTCAGCGCACATAGGCTTCGATCCGGACACGTTCCATTAAATAAATTTCTGTATTTGATGTGAAGGGTGAACTTCCCGAATTGCGAAGTGTGTGGGATTCCTGAGGATGTACATCATTTGCTCATGGAGTGTGTTCGGACGGAGCCTATCAGGGCGCAGTTATTTGCACAGGCTGGTTTCATATAATGTTGGGTGGTTTCAATCAGTTTTGTCGGAGCCAACGTGTAGCGCCGCGGAGATTTTGTTGACCAAACATGTATATGTTTGGTTAGGTAGTATTTTGATTTATCTGTCTGGATTTTATTAAGTGTTTTCTAGTATGGGTAGATGGCGCTAATTAAACAAAATAAAAGAATAGCCGCAGTATCCATCCAAGTCAATAGTGTGCAATAAGGTCATCCAGTTGATTTGTTTGTTGTCACTAGAAATTATACTCTAATTTGTAGTCTAGCTTTGATATAGTTAGCAAGGTAATTTGTAAATAATTGCAGTTTGATTTTTTTTTCATAGTCTCGCCCTAGGGAACCCTGTATCGCGGGGGCCATGAACACACACATAGACAACCACATATTACACCCAAACTCAAGAGAGAAATAAAATTGTAGGTCACACAAACATTTCTCCCGGCCCGTATCGAACCCGGGACGTCTACGTGGCAGTTCAGCATGATAACCGTACGGCCACGGAAGCAGTAAACTTACAAATTACCTAGTTACAATAACTGTAACTTTCTCATTGAAAAAAAAAACCGACTTCAAGTTTGCTTATCGGATATTTTAGATTTCGAGGTCTAGTCTAGGTATTTTCGAGGTTTTGTTTGTGTATTTTGTGTGTGTTTTGTGACCTTTTGATACAGCTGAAGCAAATGTCCCGGTGTAAAGTAACGCCTCACCCTGGAAAGGATGCCAAGCTTCCTTGATGCATTTTTGGCGATGGATTCAACGTATCTGCCGAAGTTCAAATTGGACGACAGGTCCATTACAAGTAGCTGGAGACAGTCTGATATCGGTACGGATACATCACGAAAAGTCGGAGTTAGCTCAAAGGGATTCCGTTTTGTGGAGAATAGACACGCCTGCGTTTTGAAAGCGTGAAATTTGACAAGATTGGCATCGCCCCAATCGGAGGCTGCCTTGAGCGTCAAATCTAAACGGCTAACCATGGACTCTCGACAAGACTGGATTTCCTCCCCACTGACCTTTGCCTTGCATATTTCATTGAATACATAATATTAAACGAAACCATTTTCACAGTTATTCACCACTATCAACATGACGCATCACATTTGAATGTATAAGTATCACGTGAAACTTTCTTTGGAGATTGAAATGAATTTCCCTATCTCGTTCGATATAAATCGAGGTTCAAAGGGGCTTTCGTACTTTTGTCAAAGTTCGGTTTGTTCCCAGAGCGGGTTGTTCACTTAAAGACACAATCGAATCTTTGAAGAAGTCATTCGTTTTTGTTACAAACTGATTCTTGACAACGCGGAGGTAATCGAGTCATGAAAGAACCCCTTTTGGAAAAAGCAGGCGTGATCGCGTGAGAAATAACTTTTGTACTTTTTTAAACGGTGGGAGTCAGTGATTACATTCGTGTAGTTATTGAAAAGATTTAATGCCCCTCAGTCCCTTTGCGACTGCTCTTACTTAATTGGTCTTTATTTTTAGTTACCAGATCCACTGAAATCAACGTAGTAACAATCGCAGTCAGGATTTGAAATTAACAAGGTATTTATTTTCTTTGATAAATATCCGATATTATATCTGATACTTATTCAAGCTGATTCATTGTTTTGTCATTTTAATTTTTGACTATAATTAACAAGGAGTGAGGAAACTAAACAAGCACGAAGAAAAGTCTAAAGAAAAACGATTTGTCATGTGGCGATTTGAATTTGGAAATAATTTAAATATTGTTGTATTTAACAGCAAGTAAATTAGGTTGCAAGTTATTTGAATTTTGTTTTAATTTAAGATTAATATTCGGTATTTATAATATAAGACGAAGGCAATAAAAGCAAAAATTTAGACAAAGTGTGATCTACCTGATGTTGTTATTCATACAAAGATTGAAAAACACAAAAAAAGAAATTCTTTCACTCCAGCTGGACTCGAACGAGCGACTGTTTCGAGAAACCACAACCAGTGCAGTACTTTCACAAAAAATAATTGAATACCATGGTAATAAAATCATCATGGATATTCAATAAAGTAATCGTAGGGAATCTTACGATTATTTTATTGAACTAATTACACTAAATAGAGAGAAATATTCTGTATGGCCTACATTTATTTCTCTCGTAATTTAGGGTGTAATTTTTGGTTGTTTATGTGTGTATCCATGGCACCCGCAACACAGGGTTTCCCTAGCGCGGGGCTATGTTGAGTGTGTGCGTTATTATAACACTATTATATTGATTTTATTTACTTACCTTGTACATCGGCCTAGGTTTCCAATTTGACTAAGTAAATAGAAATGGAAAGCATGAAAATGATTGAAATATATAATTTACTAACAAGTCATATCATTTGTGCCTAAATAAATATTTAGTAGGTTCCAGTTAGTTTCTGTGGTACATACATTTGTGAATAGTTATAGAGTACTCTGCACTCGACTACGTGATATTCGGCCATGATATAAACGTCTCTAAACTATTTATTTATATTTTCATGGCGTTCAAATTTGTCAGTTTAATAAAAATAAAAACAGTTTCTGAGTAATTTTCAGGTAGAGAAAACTACCTAATATCGGTGTCATATTTTATTATAAGTATTCGTGTGTATTATCATGATATTAAGTAATATTTCAGGATACTACACTCAAATGCGAAGTAATATTTCATGATAATAATCTACAGACATCGCCACCGAAATTTGGTAGAGATTATTAACCTGAAAGTTACCCTTGTATAGCTTAAAAATCCCTTTAATTTCTCTTCGGTTTCTGTTTGCCAAAGATAATGTACTAGCACTGTGTTCACCAACACAAAAGTGTAGTTTCAGGGGCGCCAATTCATAACATAAACAATTTGTTAATACTTCTGTCCTTTTTAAATTAAACTAACTTTTAAGAGATTGAAAAAGGGTATTTATAGAAATGCTGAGCCACAGAACTGACACCGTTGTACGACACTAATAAAACATGTATGCAATGAATAACATACTACTTACATCGAAATTGCTATAGTCAGAATTTCCAGGTGGTCCTGGTGGCCCGGGTGGTCCTGTATTTCCAGGTCTTCCGTCTATACCAGGTTCCCCTTTCGGACCAGTTTGGCCCTCGGGACCTCGCGGGCCTAGGTCACCTCTTTCGCCTTTTTCACCTCTAGGTCCAACTGGACCTCTTTCTCCTGGCATTCCTGGTTGACCCTGGAAAGAATAATTTTCCTATTGGAGTATAATTTTCCAATAGAATGTTTTGTACTTTTTGTATTGATACTTTTTTTTATATTGCTGTAGCAAAAATAGTAAATTTAAAAGATTTTTAATACGAACATTCCATAACTACCAAACTTATAGTCGGGTAAACTGAATACAATGATATCAAAAAGGAATATTATTTTTGTATTCTCACCACTTTTTAGAAATCCAAAAATTGATGTAAAATTGCGGAATATCGAACAGTTTTTACGTAAATATACCTTAATAAGAAATGAAATGCAAGAGTACTCACAGGGATACCCGGAGGTCCAGATCTCCCATCGGCACCAACCAATCCGGGAGGACCTGGCCGGCCCTGAAGGTCTGGATGCATCTTTAGCATTGCAGCAAGCGTGCTGGAGTTGCAGCCGCATTGGCCATAAGGAGCATAATTCTCGCCATATACTATGTGCTACCAACAAAAAGGGTAAATCATTTCAGGTTCATTTGTTTTACACAATATATGAGTCGTTGTGCTATGATATAGAAAAAATATATATACATATATATAACATATCAGGCG